GTTTTCAAAATGGACATCATATAAATTTTTTAACTTTAACAAACCGTTATTATTATTATTGTCGTTAAACATAAATTTAACTACAGTACTTAGCTTGTTTGTTGTGTTTATTTGTATTTATATATTTTTTTAAATTTAAATTTTAAATATTATGAACAAATTAAAAAATGTATGTTCTGTTTTTTATAATAATTTTTAATAATGCTTAGGCCATACATTTTCTTGGATCTCATATTAGATATTTTCTCACTGTTTTTATGATGATGACTGAATTTTTATTAAATATATTTGTAATTTTATTTTATTTTAGAGTATAATTTAATAGCTAATCAATTCGTTATAGGAATGATAGTTTCATATTACGCAAAAAAGATATTTTGTAATTTATTTAGAAAATATTACAAATGTCGTGATTTTATATTTTTAGGTAGGTATTAGGTTATTAGTTGTTAAAATTTACTGTTTGTCAACTGCTTAATTGACCAATCTGTATTTTTAATGTTTTGTGTTTTAAGGATTTTTTGTTATAATAGCTGATATGTATATACTAATTCTAGTGTCTTGTTTGACCAAGTATATTAAATCATAAACTTTTTTAGTTTCTTTGTAATTAATAAGCTAATGAAATATCGGGAAAATTTGTTATGGTTTACCCATATTTACCATTCGTTTATATATTTACAAGTATTTCAAGTTTAAGATTGCCTCCCCAGTTGTTTCTGGGAAAAAATGTAAGTGCCTACTCAAATTATTCTTCTGTTTAAATAAAGATTACTATCTTTCGAAAATATGCGGAGATAAATCAGACTTTTAAAATGATAATCAGTTATTTATATAATTGTATTCGTAAGGTCAGACAACTTCTAAACAATTAATAAAATATCTTAAATAATTTTACCTTCTCTCATCATTTCACCACAAACAGTCACTAGCTATAATTAAACAGCAATAATCAATGATGTCATTAATTTTTAATTAATAATTTATATTTTACACATTTAACAATTTGTGTCCTACAAACTTCTCTCGCTAATCCTACTATAGATATATAAATATATTTTAGATGGAAAGGTTTTTAAGCAAATGCCTATTACAAAAACAAAAACATTCGCCCTTAAACAAAACCAACAATTGCTTAGCCCTGAACAAAAGTTTAAAGAGGGGAGTAATCTGTCCACATCAATAAAATACTTGTGTTATTCAATCGGTTTTAATAAATTTCAAAGTAAAGCAACTGTAGGAATTTTTGCAGGACACATATTTCTCAATGTATGAAGGAGAAATAAGAGACGCTGGAGGATGACATTTTGAAGATGGACTACAATATCCTGAAAATCTTTTGAGTGTCCAAAATAAATAATGAAATGTTTTGACAAACTTTAATTTAAAATATTGCAATAGACTGAATTTACCGGTGTTTCTTCGCGTCGTTTGTGGACAAATGTTTGAGTTTAAACCTTTGTATTCCATCCTAGATGGAAAACGAAAAATACGTTTGTAGATATAAATATTCTGAAGCAAACAGCTGAGGAGCTCTATCTAGACTTTACTTTTACCCTATGTTTATATAGGGTCGCAAATGCCTCCTTAACGAGATACAGGGCGTCAAAATTTCCGTAAAATTAAAGCGTAAAAAATGGCAAAAAGAAGCTTATAATCTAGTTTACTTAACTCATTTGTACACATTGACATTAGTGACAGGCGATGTTTAATTTTATTTTGAATAGCATAAGCCTACTATGAGAAACTAAAATGAATGAAAATAAAATTGGATTTACAAATTTTCTACAAAGGTGTTTCTCTTAAAAATGGTTGCTTTAATCCAAATTTTGCAAGAGACCAATTCGATAGACAATTGAACACTTTACACGAGAATAGTGCCCTTTTGACAAAATTAGCAGTGGCGTAGAAAATATTTTTAAAAAAGGGTCACGTTGACCCCGTCTCTACGACACTGCTGATCATAAAATTTTGAGCAGTACATCAAACATTGGTCTTAAGGTGCTAACTACGCATAGCAAATTTGAAATAGAAATGTTCAGGCATTTTGGAATTATTGCAGACAATGTTTAATTTTACAGAAACTTTGACGCCCTCTATCTCGTTAAAGAGGCATTTGCGACCTTATGTTTATTAAAATTTTTCGTCTTAATTTTTTATGTATTATTTACCCTAGAAGTCTGTCAGCGGTTTTTTGAATCACCCTGTATAATGTTAATAATTTAGAAAAAACGGATAAAAGTACATATAGGTAGGTATACAGGGTGGTCCGAATATTATGCAGGAAACTTCTAGGGCTTACAAACAAAACTTCTAGAGCAGATAGATCTCTTGAAAATAATATGTGTTTGCCTAATAAACATAGATCTGGAACGACCCCGTTTTAGAGATACAGGGTGTTAAAATCTCAGGGATCTATTAATCGATCGCAATAAAATTTTGTACAGATAATCTCTGATAGTAGGCCTTGCATTCCCTAAAATATGAGCTCTTAAGGTACAACCAGTGGTATACAACTGGGCAGGGGTCGTCTCCTTTTTCATAAAAAAACCTACTCCACTGCATTTTTTCCAAGTTGTACGGATTTATATTCTAATGCACAAAATACGTAAAAAAAGTGAATTTTTTCCCTAAGATTCGCCGTTTTCAAGTTATTCATACCAATACAATCCCTTTGAGCAGACATTTCTAACCATAATATTACAAGAATATTTATGTTTATGCTTAAAAGTAAGTGAAATTTGTAAGCACATCAACATAATTCTTCACACTGGTTTCCACACCACCTTAGAGTTCCTTACGCGTTTTAGTTTTCCCTGGAAGCCTAACCCATTATCTTTACAAATAAGAACAACTTAAATCAAAATAATAATAAATGTACATTTACCAAAAGCGAGGGGTGGTGAATTTTCACAAGAAAATCCTCAGAAAATTCGGACACGAATTTTCTGTGAACGTGTGGCTCGGAATAATTTGCAATAAAGATTGTAGCCCTTTCTTCTTGCCACCCCGTCTAAATTCCCAGTCATTTCTAAACTTTCTAGAAAACCATCTATTTGAATTATTAGAGGATGTTCCATTAAATATACGACAAAACAGCTGGATACAATGGATGGTGCTGTTGCGCATTTTGGGAGAATAATATAAGAATGGCTTAATGAAAATTATATGGGGCGATGGATAGATAGAAGACCAAATACCAATGTCAACCATAATGGTGCAGAGGGTCCAGTGTCTTGGCCAGCCAGATTTCCATATCTAAACCCACTGGACTTCTATGTTTGGGGTTATCTGAAAAGTAAAGTTTATTCTATTTCAACAGATACAACACCACAACTACCGCAACGAATAGAATACGGGTGTAATAAATGAAAAGAAAACCACCACATGATATTAGCTTCAATTAGTTCCATTAAGAAATGTATCGATGTGGATGGTTCGCATTTTGAACAATTATTGTAAATACGTAATATTAATTTTGTTTCTTGTTTAGTTGCTGTTCCTTAGTAAATATATTTTTATTATTATTTTGATTTAAATTATTCTCATTTGTAAAGAGTATTAGGCCTCCAGGGGAAACTAAAACACACCAGGAACACTACCTCACAGGTGGTGTAGAAATTAGTGTAAATAATTTTGTTGATGTGCTTACAAATTGCACTTACTTTTAAGCATAAACATAAATATTCTTGTAATATTATGGTTATAAGTGACTGCCCTTGTATTGGTATGAATAACTTGAGAATGACGAATCATAGGGAAAAAATTAAAGTCACCTTTTTTTACGCATTTTGTCCATTAGAATATAAATCATTTACAATGACTTGTAAAAAAATGCAGTGGCGTAGGTTTTTTTGTAAAAAAGGGGTGACCTCTGTCCAGTTGTACACCACTGGTTGAACCTTTAAAGCTCATATTTTAGAGAATGTAAGGCCTACTATCATATGTTAGCTGTACCAAATTTTTTTGAGATCGGTTAATAGATTCCGGAGATATAAACAAAAAATCTTTTTTTTTTAACAACTTCAACACCCTGTATCTCTAAAACGGGGCTGTTTCAGCTAATGTTTATAAGTTAAAGAGCCACCCTATATAAATAATGTAAAATATGTTTTCAAATGATTTAAATACAAAACATAAGTAGTACTTTGAAATATTTCTTTTAAAAAAGGACTACTAAAAATTTCATTGTATAGTGCATCTCCTTTCATTTTGGTGTTAAGGTATAGAAAATTGGGATTTTCGCAAACCTGGGTACTTTTTTGAGAAATCTTCGGTCAAAATAGATTTTCAATACATTTTTAGTTTTTAAATTATGCAAAAAAAACGGACATTTTGATATTTTCAGCGACCTCTGGAGCATCTACAGTTAGGTTTTTCTGAAACATTTTTTATTTCATATGTATATGTATTTTTTTTCGTGTAGAATTCAGAGGCATCTTTAGTTTTTTTTATAATTCCAGAATTTCGAACTTACAAATCAGTTATATTTTCTGTATATGGAAACCATAGAGGCCATGGCATATTGTTAGTTAAGAAAAGAGCAATCTGCCGATTGCGAAAGTATAGTTATCAATTTGAACATTTATAAATTGTGGAATGTTTTTGTTTTACTTTCAATTAAGTGATATGTAATATCTGTCATTTGGTGTTTGGTGATCGACCTCAAGATTTCTCTTATACAATTCCTAAAGATCTAAAGTTGGAACTTTCTATTTTTAATATAAGAGCATCGAAAATGGAATACACTGTATGTTCATACATAAGTATTCAAAATCATGTAAATTGCAAATAAAAAAACAATGTAGAATTAAATTGGAAATTTTCTATTTCCTTGCATCAGACATATTAAAATCATTAAAATACGTATGTCCATTATAACTCTTAAGAATTCAGGGAAGTGTTTTTTCAATTTTATCTTATCTAGATGTACATATATATTTAGTTTATCTAGATAATATCACTTATATAAATAATTTTAGAATTATTATTAAGAGAAACAAGTGTGTAAATATATCCAACAACTTGCAAATAGGTAAGTTGCAACTCTTGTATGTTAAATATTCAATTTTTAATTATAGGTAATGTGTATATTTATTTTCATAAGTAGGTTATGTATTTTGCTTCTTAATTTTAAATATGTATGCAGATTTATTTTTAAATATGTTGTATAGGGTTAAATGTCAAAATTTAAACTCCACAATGAAGAATTCGCATATATTTGTACAAAATATTTTGGCAAAGTAACAAACAGTAAATAACATATCCTTTTTTTAATTAAATCCCTTCATTGATACTTTGGCACATGTGTATTTAAAAATTTTACATAATTTACTTTTCACTCAAATAAAGAAAGTAGGTACTATTAAGCCAATTTATTTCATTTTATAATATAGTATTATTATTAATTATATGTTTAATGAGAAATATTGTACTTATAAGACGTCTGTAGTAATCACTAGAAATTACAAATACATTGTTTCTAATATGTATAAAAAACAGCACTGTGAAAAATACCTATGCGCAGTGGCAAACTATGCCATGCATTTCTATCTCATTTTACACTTCTTGATTAGTGCATTCCAGGGTTCAAGTGAAATTTGTCCAATTGTTATTAACAAGCAAGCAGCAAAGAACTGATATCAACTGTTCCCATAAATCTCAATCCAATATAATTGATTTCAAATTTTCTGAGGGTTAACATTGTTTCTATGCTGCCTAAAATTGGATTTTTACTAAATATCCAATAGATTTTTTTCTGAATTAAAAGTTTTAAAGATATTTTTGATATATTCAACTATATATAAATTAATTATTAATTATAAAAATAAATAATTCGAAATTCGTTTTTCGAAAGAAAAAGAAAGAAGAAGTGGCTATTTTTCTCAGAAATTCTAGGAAGTTCTATGCTAGTGTGGGTACAAGCCATGGGCGTAGGTAGCTAAGGGGAGCAGGAGTGTGCACGGCCCACCCAAAACAAAAGATCTAATATTATCGTCTACCATATCGGCATATCGGTAAGTCGCTGACTGCGAGAACTTTTTTTTTAAATGAAATGAAAACCTGTACAAGTTTTTGAAATTTTATTTGGAAAGTTGCTGACTGCGAGAGATTCCTTTTTTTTTTAGAGGCTCCATAGAGCTTGCAGTCCTGGGCCCACCCCAAGCAAAAATTCTAGCTACGCCTATGGTCCAAGCGTCTCTACCACTCGTTATCATAATTGCTTCATTGAATTTTTGCCTTTAAGTCACTAGCCCAAATTTTTTAAAGTAAAAAATCTTTCAATATATTTGCATAAAGGTGACTGTTTTCGAAAATTTTAATACTCTGTATTTTGAAAACTAGGTCGTTTTTTTCGTTAAAATAACTCGAGGAATCTCAGAATACTTTTACATGCTTAAATCGGGATATACCTGAATACTTTTTCCTATTTTTATTTGTAGATTTTGGATGGCTTTTTTGTACTTTAAATATTGCGATATTCTGGCAAATTAGAAATATTTAAGTAATTTCAAACCCCAAGTGACAAACTAATAGAATTATAGAATTTATAAATTTTATAGAACAGTATTGATTTTCATAGTAATTAATAAATTACAATTATGTCAATGTTACTGAGCATGCACATTAAAGATAATTTCATGTAAGCGAAGTAGCCACGCAACAGGTTATCATTCAAGGAAAGTTTGGTTATGGTTAAGAGTACGTCTATAATAAACCACTTGAAGAAAAAAACACTCGATAAACACACTGGCACAGTAAAACATCAAGAAAAACAATAAAAATACTTAGTAGAACTATAATAAACCAAGATTAAACAAAACAAGAGAAAATACGCTAATAATAACAGCAATGACATATCAACAAGATCTCACCTGCGTATAAGGCTGTTATTTCCGAGCATGAGCATTAGGAGTAACACGGCTAATGTTAAATTTTTACTTTATTTATGTTTAAGAATATTCTTTTATATCGTTTTTTGTAAGTTTTAAGCACATTAGTGTATCTATTTTTTATAGTATCTAATATATATGTAAATAGTACACTAGGGTCATATTCGGTCACTACAATTTCAACTACGACAATTTGTTGCGGGTTGCCTAAATATGTGACGTCACACTAAAAGAGTCTATTGCAATAAATAAAATACTTATACTAAGCAAAAGGTATGTAGTTTAAACCATTCTGACGGAAGAACGCGTTCCTAACTTTTTTCTGACAGTCATGCATGTATAACTTAATTTGATGAAATGTTAGGATCTTTTTTTAAATTTGAATTAGCTTTAAAATAACATAAAAGTAGTAGTAGTAGTACCACACTAAACCAAACAATTAAAGGGTCAAGAATTTCCGAAATTTTTCCGTGATTTTTGACAGACCCTTTAATTTCTTTCAAAAGTTTGACTGTTTGAAACAAAGAGACGGTTCGTTAGATCGAGATGAAATTTCACAGGGTTCTTCTGAATATATCGAACTGTAAAAGTCATGTTTGACATTAGTCATTTCGTGAATATTTCTAATTTAGCCGTCAGTTTTCTAAAAAAACATAAATTACCCTTTTTTTCCTGTCTTTTTAAATTCGTGTAAAAGTTGAAAAAAAAATTCCGAAAACTTGCGATAGCATGTTATAGGACATTTATTACAATTTTCGAAACTGCCCTTCAATTATCTGTACGACCATTTGTCGCCGAGATATCGATGATTGAAGACAAAAGTATCCTTTTCCATTAAAAGTCCGATATTTCGATGAATAATGGTCGTATCGAAATTTAAAAAAAAAGGAAATTAAAGCTCAATAAACAACCTATCTGGTCCATGCAATGGCTTAGCTGAAAAAAATCTTTCCAAGTCCGTGAACTCGGAAAAAAAAATAAAAAAATTTGCAAAATTTTTTTGGTGCGCTATTTCTTATAATTGCATGATAACCGTAGCTCCTAAAAATTTTCGACCAAAAGATCTGAAAACTAGATTCTTAGAGCTTCAAAATGCTTTTTTTTACTTCTCGATACCATTTTTCACTTAAATACAGTCTGTCAAAAATCACGGAAAAATTTCGGAAATTCTTTTGACCCTTTAATTGTTTGGTTTAGTGTAGTAGGTACCTACCAAAAGTAATAATAAAAATTTTGAAATAGAAAAATATAATTTCATTGTTCACATGCAGAATAAAGTTCACATTAATATAATTTCTAATCTACTGTAAAACGTAATAAATCTTATATGTTTTGAAAATGATATCAGTAAATTGTATAAAATATGCAACATTTTAAACAACCATCAGCATTATATACATTTCCCGTATCATTAGAAAAATGATAACATTCATATTGCCTAGGTATATTGAATTTAAAATTTATACCAATTGACGATTATTTAGATGTCTCTAGGGATCACTAGCTTGAAAATACATTCCATTGGATAGTTTTCATCCGAGGAATAGGTATTATTTTATTTTTTAGCCGGAAAATGCAGCTTATCTACTAACCTAGCTTTATAAAATAAAACTAAAAGATTACATATTTATAATAGTTATAATACCTAATTTTACTTTTGATAATCAGTAAAATGTTTAAATATCTAACGTTTGGTATATTCTCTGAATACGTTTTTATTTTACCAAGTAAGCTAACAAATTTTTACTTTCAAATTAATAATTTACCGCAAGCTTATTATTTCTTTAGTGTATTGTTACAAAATATATTTTATTTTAAAACTGAATACAATTTTATCAAATAACGTGTTGACATCGTGATTTTTGCCTTGAAGTTCAAGATTAACTTGTCTAAGATTACTACTAATGTCAATATTGAAAGCCAAATCTTTTATTTGCAGTACATCATCGCCCATTCATTTTTTAGTTTCAGAGAAAGACGACTCGTTTGAATGAACTAACATCCCCCTTGATTTTATGTTATTCCATATACTTAAGGCAAGAAAATCAGTGCAGGTATGTATATAATTTTTCAACTCCAGTATAATTTTCTTTGACTAATATTTTTTTTCATTCCAGGTGTAAGCTAACTAGCTGCCGCTGGATATTTTACCTGCTGATGTAAATCGTAGTGGGGTGGTGCCTAAATTGTGATGTGGCACAGTGGCAAGTAGCAGTGGTTGGTAGGTTAGTTGTGTAGTTGATAAAACTTGAGATAAACGTACACGACACTCGGTAAATTCTTAATAAAAGTGAGTATATAACGCTTTTTATTTAGCCACCGATTTGTATTTTAATAAATACTATGAACGAGTCACGTTTATTCACTGTTTTATGAAATATCATTTCGATTAATTTGCATTGATGCATGCCGAAAGCCGCCTCTGTTGAATTACATGTCTAGTTTTACCTGCTATTGAAAATGTAGCTTTATGAAATCTTCTTTTCGATGCCAAAGAATCCGCTCTCTACGATACTGTGGTAACAACAATTTGATAAGGAAGCTTCTTTATTTTATAACCTCCAAAGAAAAACAAGGTTCTTGAAGTTGAAATATGAAGTTGTGGCGCTATCTATTCATAAATTGCCTCATTGGTTCATATTCCTGTAACAGAAATCTGCTCGTAGTTAATAAGCACCATCTATGGGCGTTTTCAATCATTGCAATGTCTGCGAGTAACGATTTTTGCTATTACAGCACGAAAAACAAGATAACTGTATATATTACAATCAAATATCGTAACTTTAGCAATATATAGAGTGTCCTAAATATAACAAATAGGTTGTATCAAGCAATATTTTAAAGAAATGCTGTTTTCTAGTATTTTGCGCTTTGGATAGGTTAGAGACTTTTTATTCTACTGTTATTTTAAAATTACACAGGTACTTACTTCGTGAGAGAAAGAAATATGTTCTAATTCATGAAAATATCTGAAATTTAGTCTCCACTTTTTGCATCAGAAGTACATGTATAAAAAATACATGTAAAAGATTGTTATTTAACATAATTTCTAACTTAAATTTTCACTTTTTTTTAGCATATTTTTAATAACAACTAATTTATACCTAATTTATTTACTTAGGTACTTTAATGTGAATAACAAATGGCGATCAAAAGTATCTGTTGCTTGGGAGCTGGTTATGTTGGTGGACCAACTTGCAGTGTAATTGCATTAAAATGTCCCGAGATTAAAGTCACTGTGGTAGATTTGAGCAAGGAACGTATAGCCCAATGGAATTCTGATAAACTTCCTATTTATGAGGTATGTCATTTTTATTTATTTAATTTTACTTAGGACTTATTTGTTTTAAGGAAATATTTTTATGTTCAAAATCATGATTCTTTAAATCAATTAAATTAATGTTAGGTACTTGCATTAAGCCTGGTACACACAAATTTTGTTGATTTGTAATTTCTATAATTTATTTTCTCAAAAACAATTGATTCCCAATAAACTCAATGACATAAAAAGTGGGAGTTGTTTCATATTATATCGTATTATTTCATATTTTCTTTGTTGTCCCACAGCGATATCAGATTTCTCTTTGTTTTAAATTATGACTGTTACTTTTACGACTTACCTTATAAATTTTGCAAATTGTAATTTGTTGCAGTCAATTTTTTTATTCCTTTATAAACCTACTAAAAATTAATTTATTTGTAAACATAGGTAATGAGTTTTATTTTTTTTAGCCTGGTTTGGATGAAGTCGTCAAGTTGTGTAGAGGGAAAAACTTATTTTTTTCGAATGATGTGAGCACTGCGATTTTAGAAGCCGATTTAATATTTATTTCCGTAAATACACCAACTAAGGCCATTGGGAATGGAAAGGTCAGTATATTCAAATTTTAGTATTTAGTAATGAATATTATAGTCTTTCAGAAGTCAGTTGAACATGTATAAAAACGCCTAGCAATTAAATTTAATGTGTTTCATAGGCGTCCCTAAGATAGTTTTCCGTTAAAGGTAAAAAATTATAATAATTTGTATGTAATGTGTAGAAAATTTCTATTATATGTTCATTTGGCCAACAACATATTTTAATTATTTATGTCCTCAAACAATTTTATTATATTGATGGTAAATTTAGTTTTGTTCCATTTCAAAAGGTCTCCAAAATGCCATGTTGTAATAATTTAGTAAACAAAATATCCCTGTTATTTCTCACTTTCGCAATTGTAATAGGAATGATTAATAGAAGGTGCCTATAATAAATTAAAATTACCTGAATCACACCAAATTCCGCATTGCTGCACTGCACTGCTAGGTAATTTGTCAACCACTTGTCAACAACTGAGATTTATTGCTCAGTCGCCCAGTGCGGTTGTGTTATACGCCGTTTTCTCCCGCGCGTATTCTCAACTGGGCTAAATAAATATGGGAATAAGTTTTTCAAATATTTCAATGCCGAGTTGCTGCGTCAGCGACCGAACCTGGTACATACTGTCAACCTCTTGGTTCTCCAGTTGAGATCGGAAAGACTATACCAGTAAATCTATACGGGCCGCAAAATTTAAATGTAATAGTGGACAATATGTCACAAATCAAGAAAAATGTTGTTAAAAAATATGTCCGAGATATATCGAGATACAGGGTGTTGCATTTTGTAGGAGGTTACAATCCTTCACTAAATTAAAAATTCCTGCAGTAGTTAACGAAGTTATTTTCAATTTATTGACGTACGTATATCTTAGACTTATTTTAAATTAAAAGAACAATAATAATGACGGAGAAATAGCCCATATTTTTTTTCTTAGAAATATCAACTGAAATTAACTGTGTGTACGTTTCTAATTTTCAAAATATTCAATAGCGTTCGAATTCTAAGGTTCTTAACCTTTCTCAGTAGCCCCCCACCCTCCCATTGTCTGACAGATTTGTATATCAATTGGGTAAATTTTAAGCGATATTTAAATAAATGTTGTTTTCAACACCATGTGTCTCGAAAACGAAACGGTTTGGACCATATGTTCATAGGAACTATTTCATGAACACCCCATTAACATTTGCGGAAACCATCTCGTACAGATTCTGTTTCTCTTTCTCAGCATAGAAATCATTCCCAAAAAAACTATGTACGTCCCATGACAACTTTAAATGTGACCACTTTAATTTTCACCAGCCGTCACTGGGCGTACCAAACGGATATTAGATTCTGAACAATTATGTTAATAATTTAAATATATTATTGTTTATTGGTTGATTGAACATAAAAAACTGATGTCATGTTTTACACAGGGTAGGGCCGCAGATTTAAAATATGTCGAAGGAGCAGCCAGAATGATCGCAGATATTGCAAAAAATGATAAAATAGTCGTTGAAAAGAGCACCGTCCCTGTTAGGGCAGCGGAAAGTATAGCAAAAATTTTGATTGCTAATCAAAAACCTGGGGTCTCCTATCAGATTCTGTCAAATCCAGAATTTTTAGCAGAAGGTAAGTGTCAGAATATTTAAATAACTTTGAAATAATATTGGACAAATTTAATCTTTTTAAAAAATCAATTATGTCATGTCCCATTTTTTCAACGTCCTTGTAGATTTATTTGTCAGTTAAATCTATTTCTGTCTCATAAAAACATGTTCATAAGAAGATGACAGACAGATTTAATTGACAATTAAACTTATGTTAGACTACAAGCCCATCGGAAATTTTCAAGGGGTCATTTGACCCAGCATGAATTACTTATAAATCAATACTACCATATATAACAATAACTTTAGAAACTATGCCGTCCACCTGTCCACCAAGAGGGGTGGTTTTCGGCAAAACATTTTTGTACGGCATTTCTAAAGTATATAGGTTATACAAAAAAGTGAACTTCGACCTAATGCTGTACAAAAATAGCAATATCGGAAGCCAGGAAACTTTTGATTTTCTGAAAATTTTGGCCCGGTTTTTGGTGATTTACTACAGTACGGCATTTATATGGCAAGTTTTGGATTGATACGTAGATAACTTTTTTAGTGACGTCGTACGTATCTGCTGATACAAGGGTTAGAAATGTACGGCATCGATTCCACATGATTATTTAACTCTCCAAATAATTCTTAGCAACTATGCAGTCTGAAAATTATGGTTAATGCAAAAATTTATAAACAATTACTTGTATTTGGTAATTGAGTTTTATTTTTTTTTTCGATAAGATCATTAATTCCTGTACGGCAACCACTTTTTTGATAAAATATAACCAAAAACTATCGTACTAAATCATGGCCGGTTATAATTAATGGTACAAATTAAAAATTCGAATTAAAAAACAAAATAAATAAATTTTGAAAATTCCTTGTTATAAACTAACTAACTAAAAATGTTATACTCAAAATATTATGGCTGTAATTCACTTTTCGTAAGTAAAAAAAATAAAAAAAACAATGCCGTACATTTTTAACTAGTGGATTTTAGACAGCTGATAATATTTTTCATTAAATTTTTCTACATACAAATCGTCAGAATTATAACATAAAGAATGAAAATTGCAATGCCGTACATATTCGTTGGAACAATTCTCCGAAACTGTGTAAGTCCAAAATGAGTTTTATCTTAATTTCAAGAGAAATTTAATTTATACCGTAGAAATTATGATGGCATTGTCTTTAAGATTAAAAAAAATTGTGAATAGAGAAAATATTTTGAGAAATTTAGAAATTTAATGACGTGCAAGAAAGTATTATTTTTAAATAAATATAATAAATAATTAATTTTAACTTAATATTCATGAGAATTCCTATATAAATACTTACATTTAAAACGGTGATATATAATAATATATGTTTTGAAGTAAGAGTACCCTCGCATTTGCATATTGGCAACTTCTGTTACAATTGTTTGAACAATTTATTTATGCAAAAATGTGATGAAGCCATGAACTTTAAGATTGTCGGTTATAAACATGAATAAAACCACACAAAAATTTACACGCTGAAAAGAAAAAAGAGACAGAGAAAGAAGATGTTTTGATTATAATTTTAAAATAAAAATAATTCCAAATTTTTTTAAAAATATTCGAATGCAAATTTTTTTTATCGATTTTTTAAAAATAATTTTTTGGATTTTGAAAAAATTTTACCTGTGTACTTGTGAAAAAAATATATATACTTAAGCTTTTCAAATTTATAAAATTAATAATTTTTATATCGACGTGTTTTTTTTAACGGCATATTACTTAAAAATTATTTTACATCTTAAATAATGTTTTAGCAACAATGCCGACCATTTTTCAATGATCGGAAACAATAAGGATCAGAATAGGGATTTGCATCCGGGGTTTCTCACTCCTATATCGACAAATATGTACGGCATTACTGAAAAATATTTTTATATGATATTGAAAGTCTTATTATAGAAAGGCCGTACAGTAGTAAATAATTTGTATTAAGGAGAAAATAGTAGTAAAAATAAAATCAATTGTTGCAAGTAATACTTATTTGAAAAAATATATTTCAAGCCATTTAGAACCTTTTTTTGTATGGCATTTTGTTTTTGTTGATTATTGTTGTCAGTATTAACAAAATATATTAATGCCGTACAAAAATTTTTCACCTTGAAATCTTACTTTTCAGAGGGAAATTAATTTTCATGAAAAATGTACGGCATGGACAAAAATGTCATTATTTTATAAAATAGAATTAAAATTAGTGAATTTGTTGTTGGTTCAAATCACCCCCCATAGAAAGAAGGAAAAAAACTGATGACAAGTTCTCGAGGTCGGTTTCTGTAAAATTTGAGAAACAAGTTACACAGACACTGACAAATACTAAGATCAAAGTAATATTGTAACCTGTAGTTAGGATTTGTGTGAAGAATAAGACTGTAAATGCCTTGTTAAACAAAATAATAGTTTTGAATTACAGTCACCAGAACGTCAACGTCTATATATTGATATAAACTATTTCACAACTTCCAAATTGCCCTTAAAGTTGCTCTACTTCAGTCACAATTAAATAGTAGCAATAACTGTAGGTTTCATTAATAAATGTCTTCAAACGCAGTTTCCTAGTAGAGTGAAAAATAACAGTAATTGTGATTCAACAGGATGATTGTAACGCTACTATAAACTTTGTACCACATTGAAAAGTTTAATCATAACTTGCTACAGCAAAACACATTAAAGTAGCAGAACTTTTGCAAAAACCGTGAAAATAACTTTCAAGTGGCTGAATTGTGTTCTCGTATAAATTATTATCTACAAAATGTAGATTGTAACAATTTGTGTATAGGCGAAATTTCCAGGAACTGCAATAAATGACCTACTGAACGCAGATAGAGTTTTAATTGGTGGTGAAGAGTCTGCTGGGGGCAAAGAGGCGATAGAAAAACTGTGCAGTATTTACGAACATTGGATACCCAGAAAAAAGATTTTGACCACAAATACTTGGTCATCCGAATTGTCAAAATTGGTATGTAAACCTTATTAAAATTGTTGTGCTCTAGGCCATAACATAATAAGTTTTATTCAGGCAGCAAATGCTTTGTTAGCTCAAAGAATATCCAGTATAAATTCCTTGTCTGCAATATGTGAAGCCACTGGTGCGGATGTATCTGAGGTAGCTAGAGCTGTTGGTTTTGATTCCAGAATTGGATCGAAGTTTTTACAAGCATCAATAGGTAAATATACAAAAGCAGTAAATGTTAATATTTTTGTAAGAAGTCTTCAGGAAAATGTATACAGGGTGAGTCATTATTAATGGTACACAGCTTAATGGCAGATTGTTAACGTCAGAATATAGTGGTTGAGCCAAACTTTGCCTTAATCAATTGTTGCTACATTTCGTTCTACAGGGTGTTAAAGTTGTTTTGTTTTAAAAATTTGTAGTTTTACGTTTTTTCAGGTGGCAAATACGAATATGCAAACAGTGGTGGGGTCGCGTCTAGGGGGCGCTAGTTATACTGTCCTATATTATTCAATAATGTTTTTCAAGATTATTACAACTTGTCTTAATTTTATTACAAAAAATTTGGGAGACAAAAACAGAAATAAGAAATGGTGTACTAGAGGCATAAAAATCTCATCAGTGCGCTAAAAATAAAACTACACAGAGCTACACGCTCCGCAATTAAATGGTTTAATTGACCCTAACTATTATAAAAATTATAAAATAATATATTGTCGAGTTATTAGAGCTGCTAAAAAATTGCACTTTGATAGACTAATATTGACCTCAAAAAAATCAAACAAAAACTGCATGGAACATTATTAACTCAACAACGGGATGCATAAAAAATGTGCTTCTTCTAGTATTAATGTAAATAATTGTTTGCCGACTGACAAAAATGTTATAGCTGGAGCCTCTAATTCTTATTTTGCTAATGTTTCCAAAACTAGTATCACATTTGACTCCAAATAGTATTCGTGGTCAATGCAACATGTTATTAAGATGTTATCTGACGAGTAGAAAACAGTTTGTTAAATTTTATGGTGCTAAATCATCGGACTTAAATGTTGATATGGGTGTGCCCCAGGGTAGCGTTCTTGGACCCTTATTGTTTTTGTTATGTATTAATAATATAAATAGTTGTATATCTACTTATTTCTGCGCTTTTGCTGACGACATTACAAATGCGTCAACTAGTAAATCTGTCGAAAAAGCAATTAGTGAGTTAAATTTAAACTCTGAGTATTTATGTTAGTATTTTACATATTCTAAATTAGTCTTAAATTGTGAAAAGACGTATTGTATGCAGTTTCATACTATTCCAGCAAACTATACATGTAGTTCCCTTATAAAATTAGATAAAACATCAATTCAGCACGTATCAAATTTTAAGCTTTTGGGTATTAACATAGACTTTTCATTAAATTGGAAAGTGCACATAAATGAACTTAGTAAGAAGTGCGCCACTTGCTGCTTTGCTACACTCGTAAATCCATTGTCTAAAATATGTAATATAAATGTAGTCAAAACTTTTTATTTTTCAAAATTTGAGTCTCAGCTTAGGTATGGAGTAATTTTTTGGGCAGGTGATAATACTTCTGTGAACCGTATATTTATACAACAAAAAAGGGCTATCCGTTCAATGTATCATATTAACTATCGTGAATCTTGTAGACAAATATTTAGGGAAAAACGTATTTTAACATATTTATATTTTGGAATTACTGTGTTTTGTAAAAAAAATGTCAAGTTTTAGGAACCAAAATGCCGACCACACCTATTTTACGCGATACGGACTTGATTTGCAATATGATGCCCATCGTTTGGAATTGTATAGAGCCGATCCATATTATATTGGTACTGTTCTTTATAATAAATTAGAAATCATTAACAAGTTTTAGTAGATATATGTGTGCTGTAAGCAATTTTCTTTTAGAAAACAGCTTCTATTCGGTTAGGGAGTATTTGGAGTTTTAGTGTGTTGTTTTGTACATATCTTTTTTGTGTGTAGTTTTATTGTATTTTTCTTTTTAAAAATGTCTGTAAAATTTTTTGACATCCTATATCATTGTATGATCAACTGGATGAATAAAGATTGATTGATTGATTGATTGTATACAGGGTGATTCAGAACTTATCAAAAAAAAAAATTCTGGATGTACAGGGGACCCTCAAATACAATTTTGTAAAGAAAAAATCAGAAAGGTCAGTTCGAAATTGATTTAAAAATACACTTCTGCACGGCACTGGAAACTGGTCCAGTGTAAAACCTGACCTAGCACAATACGACCGTCATGGCGGTGTGATAAAAACGGACAAAAACTTTCGCAAGGAAAGAAATATGTAAATAGAATTTTATCGCACCTATTTCATATCAGCAAATTCAACTGCTTCTGCCGTTATTAATTAATAAAATTAATTTGTGTTTTTAAATAATAAAATCATTTGACATACCCGATGCTGCAACAGCAATTGTTCAAAATTTTATCCACTCACGTGTAAACACATTTGGGTCCGTCTTACTCACTTTCTACGAACTAACACAAATGATATCTTGCTTCACCATAACACAAATACTTCACCATAATACAAATGTTGTCTTGCTTCACCATAAATTAAAACGATATCCATCAACTCTGAGTTGCTATACACGCAAGCCATTTTTGACACTAACTACTAAAAAACTGATTTAAATAACACAGATAACAGGTAAAAACTACCGCAACGACGGATTTCAGTATTAGGAGTCACATGGCTCTCCACGCGTATTGCGAATGACGCTAGAGATTACAGTTGTCCAGCTATGTAGTGGTTTAATGTGCTATAACTTCAATAATTTTTTTCTCAGAAACTATAAGGATTTTACAATTTTTTTTTACAATATTGACTCCATTTCTCATGCCGCATCTATTCCCAAATTTTTTTGGATAAGTTGTGAATTACCCTGTATAGGTAAGTTTGGTTAAATTACAATATTTTGGACACCCCTACATGCACCTGCCCTGTGTCGGTTCTTATGCGGGACACCCTGTATACATTGCTATGACTAATTTATTAAATGTAAAATTATTTTCTAACAAGGAACATCTAATATCTTCATTTTTTAAATTTGTTGAAAAGTGTTACTTGTTTTTTGTCATATTAAAACTAATATGCTTTAAAAACTAGTAACTAGGTAGAAATTTTTCATGATCGTCGACAAACGCACTAGTTAAGCTCTATTTGATTTATGTATTTTCTCTATTGGTTTCGGTGGGAGCTGTTTCCAAAAGGACATCCTGAATTTGGTATATATATGCGAGTGTCTCAATTTGCCGGAAGTAGCGGCGTACTGGCAACAAGTAATCGACATGAACGAATATCAAAAGTCTCGTTTTACGGCAAAAATCATCGAGTCGTTGTTTAATACTGTCAGCGGAAAGAAGATATGTATATTGGGATTTGCCTTCAAAAGTAATACCGGAGATACAAGGGAGAGTCCGGCAATATACGTGGCGAAAACTTTACTTGATGAAGGGGCCTCTCTAAAAATCTATGATCCCAAGGTAACCTTTAGTTTGGAGATTAAAATGTAATTATTCAGGGAGTTCTGAAATTAGCATACAATATTTTGGCGGCACAGTCAACTATAAATAAAAGAAAAAGTTCTAAGGGAGCCACAACACTTTAAAGATGAGCTCCTGACTGCTCTTTTTTCCAGATATCACCGAAACCCTTTAATATAAAATAACAAAATTCGGAACTGAGTATTTTGCGAAAATAATATTTAAATTTTGTTAGAAGGGTGGGACAGGTTGTGAATAAATATTGGTCCAACTTTTTCATATGTGGAACTTTGAGCCAGAATTAAGTAATTTTACACAATTTTGCAGTGAAAAAGTACATTTGTATCAACTGTTTTGAAGTAAAATTCATTAAAAATTGTGTTAGACGCTAGAAATATGTGACTGGAATTTTTGAACTCACTGTCCACACACATGTTTTCAAAACCGTGATAATCGCCTTTCAAAAAAGGATATAAAAATGTTTGACACGAATTGATAAAAATAAAAACTAAATCATGCTACTGAAGTTTATAAAAAATGCCTTTTTCGGAAAAGAGCATATAAATAATTTCCTATTTGTAATTAGAGAATACAAAATATAATAGATTATCTGCACATAATGTTGTTCAATTGGCTTTAGTTTTCTTTATCTTTGTTTTTATAAGACAGGTATTTTTCTGGCTTTTTGGAATATTTTTTCAAAATATTTTCTATAAGAGCTTCTGTTTTCATTGACACTATTAATTCATAATTAGACTAGGGCGGATCTGTCGCAATATCCCAATTCTTGGATGTAAGAGGGGGCAGCTAATTTTTGCTGGAATACCTTCAGTACAACTCATATAATAAAAGTGTAGATATCTAGATCTCGGCGAGGTCCGGAACATTTTCAAAATTGCAAAAATGTTTGAAAATTTAAAAAAAAAATACCTATTTTATCTTATTTTCTTACTTATGCATTTTGGAAGAATATTGAAGAGGAAAAAAGTGTAGAATTGAATTTTATAGTATAATATACTGTAAGTTAAAAATGTTTAAATTTATTACAGATGTCGGAAAACAGCAATAATTGATGAAAAAAGGCAAAATAATCAAGGTTTTTGGATAATTTTTAAAAAATATTTTAATTGCTCCGAGGGCATTCTAATTTAAAAAATAAAAACTTTAGAGTATAATAAAATAACACACCAAATTTCATTAAAATCGGTTGGATAGTTTTCGCAAAATAAATTTTTGAAAAAAATTTTGATAAACATTTTTCGAATTTTCAAAATGTTGAGCAGCTTCAAATAAAGCATCTAGATACTTGAAATTTTTTTCAAGTAGAAAAGACCGCTCAAACTTTCAAATGTTTTGTTGGAAAATTGAAATGGTTGATTAGGATGGCCACAATAATATTTTAAAGTTAACACTCTTTCTTTATTTTTAAACTATTAGATTACATTTATCAATTTGCAATTTAGTTTTTTTTCAATAATTATAATTTTAAAGTACTCGGAAAGACGTTTCTTAAAAAGAAGAAAGTTAAATTCCGTTTCTTGGTTCTCGAGATAAAACCGGTCAGTTTATCGGCATTTACCGTTATTTTATAAACAATTTAGTAATAATCTTATTGTTAGATCCAGTGGCTTCGTTTTTCCAAGTTCTAAGCTGGAAAAGAAAATTCCATTTCCATAAGTTATCGGCAACACAGATAAATCATCGGAAAAGCTGTCGCTCGCACGCGCGAAAAGTGACTCAAAACACGAAAAGTGGAGGAGGGGGCTTTCGCTCCAAGACTGAATTTGGAAGTTCAAAATGCGAAGGTACGAACAAAATTGTATTATCTCGACTTCTAATGGATCTTTTTTTTTAATCCGATGTCTCGCGAGCCAAGGAATTCGAATATCGTAATGCCAACTGTCTAATTTGTACATATTTATTATATTTATAATGTTTATTATTATTTATGCATTAAATATACTGTATATTTTACCCTATGCTATTGCATTTTTTCACTGAAAAAATTTGTTACGTATATATTTCAACACTCTGAATATGAATGTATTTAGTTATAATTAGTATTATTATTTAAATAATTTTTATTTAAACAAATTAAAAAAAATATTTGGAAATTAATTTTTTTGTCAAGTACAGATAAAATTAAGAAAAAATAGTGCTTTAAAATTATAATTTTTGGAAAAAACTAAATTGCAAATTGATAAATGTAATCTAATTATTGTTAAAAAATAAAAAAAATAGTGTTAACTTTAAAAATTTACTGTGGCCGTCCTAATCAACCGATTTCAATTTTTTAAAAACCATTTGAAAGGTTAAGCAGTATTTTCTTTGTGAAAAAATTTTCAAGTAAATAGATGCTTTATTTGAGGCTGTGCAACATTTCAAAAATTCGAAAATTTTTATTTTTTTTATTATTTTGCGAAAACTATCGAACCGATTTTAATGAAATTTGTTGTGTTGTTTTATTATACTCTAAAGTTTTTTTTTTATCAAAATTAGAATGCCCCCGGAGCAATTATAATATTTTAAAAAAAATTATCCAAAAAACTTGATTATTTTGCCTTTTTTCATCAACTATTACTCTTTTGCAAGATCGGTAATAAATTTAAACGTTTTTAACTTACAGTATATTGTGCAAAATTCAATTCTAAAACTTTTTTCCTCCTCAATATTCTTCCAAAATGCATAGGTTCCAAAATATAGTAAAAAACTCCTATAAAATAGGTATTTTTTGATTTTTTTAAATCTCGCCCAGATTTAGGGATCTACATTCTTTTTTATGAGTTGTACTGAAGGTAATCCAGAAAAGAATTTCCTTGCCCCCTCTCACATTCACCTCAAAAATTATCTGCCCTGTTCTAAATATTTTGTGACATAACAATTTTTACTATCCAAAGGAGTACTTGTTTACTGCTAAATTGTCTAAAAAATATAATATTTGAGTAGAAAAAATGTTTTAGCTAAATTAACCATAACCCTTCCACTTAATTGATTAAAATTTAGAGAGTATTTTTCAACCATTAGATTTGCAACCTAAGAATAATACCAATTTCAATTGTTTTATCTCGAACAATTACGGAGATATCTGTTAACTCATTAGAAGACTATTTTTCGCCTATATTCAAATAAATTTTTCTTTTGTTAAATAAATATATTGCACACTAATTTCAGATCAATCTGTACAAAGATTATTTCTTAGATTAGATTTTCGAATGTTTGAATAAAACAGACATAAAAAAATGGTTTGTTCCATAGATGAGACCTATACCATCTTATGTATTTGGACCTTCAAAAACCGATCTGTCATGGAAAGAGTTTCCTGATCTTTCAATATTCTTTTCTTTGTCATTAAACCAACCATAAAACCTAAAAAGCAGCCAATACTCTGCATTCAGTAGGTTTTTCCTTAGGTATAACCTTGGAAACGAGTCGACGCAATATATTCGTACTGCTTGTTGCTTATTTTGGGTATTCAAAGACCCAATGAAACTTTGCAACTCTTCAGCTACGGGTGAACAACATAAAGTCACCAAAAAATGTGCCATGAGACTCATGAGTATTTTCCAGGGCTAAGGCCAAGGAGAGAAATACTGAATGTAGGGTTTTTGGTGCTTTTTATGTTTAGGGAGGTTTTCAGCAATTAAAAGGAAATGAAGAGTGATGGAACATTTTCCAGATAGAATCGGTCTCTAGATATCCAAGTACATGGGTCCAATCCTTGAAACATACCACTTTTTTGTGTGCTTGTAAGATTAATGTATCAAGAAGTTAATTTATCACAAAACAGGTAATAACTTACAAGTACTATTTAGGTTGAAGAAATCAGAATATTCGAGGACTTGACTCATCCAACAATTTGCGAATCACCGGAAGATGTTCGGAAAAACGTCTTGGTCTGTAAGGATGCTTATACTGCATCAGAAGGATGCCATGCAGTTGTTGTTTGTACCGAATGGGCTGAATTCACGGTAGGTTATCTTTCGTCTGCACTAGGTGTTGCGGGTATAATTTAATGCCGATACAGCCATCGGAGTAGTTGTTTCTCGCAACACTGACAAATTAAAACATTGTCTCGCCCTCTGTGGATGGCAGTCGTGCAACAAGTAACTGCAATATAGCAGGTGGCTTCCTACTGTAGCCTGACACAGTTGGGAGCCAGCACGATAGATGCGGCCATTTGCACTCCCGCGTACAATATTTTTCGTCTCATTTCAATTTTTGTAAGACTGTTATAAAAACGTAGCAGTATTATTTAAATATATTTTTTTAATAGCAAGTTTAATTGATTCAATATTTGAATTTCAGACGTTGGATTACAATAAAATTTATGAACGTATGATGAAACCAGCATATATTTTTGACGGTAGGAAGATGTTGGATCACGAAGCTCTTATAAATATTGGATACCACGTCCAAACTATAGGCAAACAGCTTGGAAAGCCTCTAGTTACGAGAAGTTGGAGCACAAATTCGATCGCATAAGATTTCTCCCTAAATAAATTTTGATAAAAGATTACATACTACCAAAGAAATCTTTTTAACTGTAAAACTTTGTTGTTTGTACAATTTTTGCTGATTTAGACAGGTCTGGACTCGGTAGAATTTGTTAAAAGGTCACACAAATTCAAGAAAATATTAAACGTGTTTACACTTATAAAATAATTCTGAATACATAAAAAGGGCATGTAATTTGTTGTATGTACTTAAGTTTTGAGATGCAGACGGCTGCATATTTTATGGAACAATTATACTAAAATACAAATATGTATTAATCTAAGAGATATCCAAAACAAATATTGTAAAAGTGAACATTATTTTGTATAAAATAACATATTCCACTATTTTTATTTTCTATGTTTAGTTTTCAAGACATCACATGCATTTAATAGATTTTTAAGGAGCAATAAACTTAAACTAGTAAGTAAGTATAAGAAATATAAAAGATACTTAACCATGGATTGAAAAATCAATTCTGTTAAATAAATATCAAAATATCAGTTAACTGATAAAAAAGAAACATTTTATGAACAAAAATTTCATTTGCCATGATTTTAAGAATGTGATAAAAAATTGCATTGTACATAAAACATAAAGACACTAATAAATATTTTATTATATTCAATTATGTAATTTTTAATTCCCTTCCCTATAAATATTGAATTTAAGGTGCAAGAAATAAAGAAAAATATGAAAAAAAAAATGTTTTTCACGGAGAAACTCGGAAGTGGCGTGAAATGCGTCTCCCGAAACTGATCGGCGGTCGCTCTGCTGTCAGCATCGGGCTGTCCAGATATCGTGAGTTGCTTGTAGCGTTTGGAGCGGTTTGCGGCTGTTGAATTGGAAACATAGGTAAAAATTTCGATTTCCGCCAAGCGTCTTCTGATTCATCTTCTGCTTCACAGCCAGCTAGGTATCTTCCAAAATCGGCACTTACTTTTGGATGACTTTTCCTCACGTAGAGATTCGAAAATTGAGTTTAATTCAAATCACTCCTTCGTTGTTTAAAGTGCATAAATGTCATTAAAAATAAAAGATTAAACTCGATAATTCTTTAATACAGTTAAAACAAAAGGTGATGAAAACAATTACTTACAAAATGAGGCAAACGCTTTCATACTACATACATATTACAATCTATTCTCTATCTCTCATTTAAAGACACATATTCAATCTTCGCCTGACTTCTTTGTGGGCTGCGTTTATTAACATTTCGCCGTTTAACTCATTACAGGCGTTTGTAATTTTTTTCTTTCAAATGATTAATATTTCGCGAAGGTGTTTTGTAAACCTTATTTTTTAAAACCGCCCATAAAAAAAATCGAGGGTGTTAGATCTGTTGGCTTTCCGGGCCACTGAATAGGTCCATTAAAACCCAATCCATTTTTCTGGGAAAGTGTTATCTAAATATTGCTGCATTACTCCAAAATGGCCTTGGTTTTGGACTGGATTTACAATGTGAGGATTTTCAATGGACCAGTAGTGTTCGTTGCGCCTGATTGGCAAACCATTACTGATAAACCGACTTTCGTCTAAAGAATGTGCCGAAAAAGGTTCTGATCAACAGTTTCTACATTTACTACAATTTGAACTATAAAATTAAGTCTGTTTTCAATATGACGGTCAGGCAAATACTCCAAATTATAAATTTTGTAGTCATGATACCCATTGGTCTTTAAAATTCTTGAACGGCTGATTTATCCAAATTCAATTCCCGGCTAGCCTGCCGTATAGAATTTCGTGAATTTTGTTCGAAATACTGTAACAATCTAGCTGCATTAACATTGTTTCTTACCCTTCAGTCAATTATTTGATTCTTCTGAATAGAAAATGCATTTTCATTTCGTCGCTAGGTCGCTTCTAATCTTGTAAAGGTTCTATGATCAGGAATGAGGCGCTCTGGATCCTTTCCTGATATAAATCTACAGCTCTTCTTCGAAAGAATTTTTTTGTGACGCCTTAAATTAGCAACATATCAACATTTTGAAAGCACAAAAGTTATACGTTTGATGTTCGTATTAAGTAATGACAAGTATTTTGTGACATTTATGCACTTTAAACAACTAACATTCAGTTATTTTCCGACGACTACTCGATCCGCTAATGTGATTTTTAGGTGGTATTTCTTTTGAGACTCTTTTAGGACGATTTTGCTTATAACTTTTAAACGGGTAGAAATACAGAAATAATAAAAGTTTATTAGAAAAAAGAGAGCTTTTTAACAGGAAAACAACTATACAGATTTTGATTGCCACACATTAATTAGTCAATGAAGCTGACTGATTCGTAGATATTTATTGAAAAAAGAAACAGTTAAATTCCAATAAGAATTAAAAAAACCTATAAAATGTGGTGACAAGTGCATTTTCGGACGAAAGTGAATGATTATGTTCTAGAAATTTGTGACGTTTCCTTTGGTTTGAATTCTCTTTGGCACGACAAATTTCCAAAACTCCTGGATCTTTCTTTTGAGATTAGGAATTGTCCTTTATGGTGTTACAATGTTTCAATTGCATTTAGGTCGGGGCTGCTTGACGGTCAGTTCAAGACTTTAATATTGTCTCCAAACCATTTTCTGTTTTGCCCATACGACAGAGGATGCACCATCTTGCTGGAAAATGAAATATCTGTCGCCAAATTGTTCCGATGCTGTGGACCATAGTGGACTTTCTAAGATATCCAGATATTTACCTGCGTTAACGCTGCGTTGATGAACTCTAATCTTCTACCCCCTTTGCCGACCTCCCCAGATCAGGACTCCTTGTGGAAATTTCATTGTATACGTTAAACACTCCTTGGGGAAAGCTTGTTCTGGTGGTTCATCAACAACAGTTTGTTTTTGCTTTCGTTGCTTCTAAGGATACTGATGATACAAACGTAGTCAAAGTTGTGTATCTACTGACAACAACTTTCTCTCGATACGTTAATATCTATTTCTTGATTCCACACCACGATTATTTCTCTCACTTCTTTGGCGTTTGTAGATGTTAACAAAAAGTTTATGCCATTTTTATTACTTTTGACAATCGACCAGAACTTTTCACGAAAGTTTACACTATCAGTTTTTCAGTAGTACGTCTTATTTATATCTAAGATTGCAAATTTCTGTATGTTTCAGCATTGTTTCCATCGATTTCCCTCGCTTATATTGTTGACGTATTATTTCACGCATTTTTTGAAGGTTGCCTAAAGTTCACGTCATAGTTTTGTACAACACTGTTTTTGGTTTTTGTGCAAGCTAAGCATAATATTAATGTGAAGGGTTTACCGATCAAAATAAATTTGAAAAATAGTTACCGAAATGTTATCTAAATTGGTTGTATAATGCACGGCAGCAGAGGGGTGGTTTGCACGAACCAGGCTCCAGGCTGTCGGCAAAATCCTTTTGCCGACAGCCTGGAACTGCAGTGTAGAAAGCCTCAACTGCTCGACGAGGACGATGAATTCGAAATAGTGACTGAGCGCGCGGCACGACGCGTCGACTGAGAGCCAAACAACTGAACTGAGACTGACAATACGTAGACTTAAAAACAGAAAAGCCCCCGGACCCGACAATATACATAACACGACACTTAAACGACTACCACACAAGGGCCTCATGGCCCTACTAAACAGACTAAGACACTACCCTACCCGCTGGAAAACAGCAAACATACTCCTTATCCCAAAACTCAACAAAGACCACACCTTCCCATCCAACTACCGGCCCATTAGTCTGCTCCCGGCTATGAGCAAAGTGGTAGAAAAAATCATCCTAACCCGCCTAAAAACCCACTCCCAAGAACTGCGAGTCATTCCAGACGAGCAGTTCGCCTTCCGACCCAATCACTCCACCGAACTCCAAATCCTTCGCCTTACCGAGCACATCACGGCGGCCTTCAACAGGGGACAGTACACTGGTGCTGTCTTCCTGGACGTCGCAAAGGCCTTCGATACGGTTTGGCATGAAGGCCTACTGATGAAAATGCTCACTAACCAATATCCCATATCCTTTACCAAACTCATAAAATCCTACCTACACCACCGAAAATTCCGCATACAAATCCAAGACTCCCTTTCCACTACCCGTCCCATGGAAGCCGGTGTCCCCCAGGGCACCGTCCTCCCCCCACACCTATACACCATTTACAACTCTGACATCCCACATCCCCCCAACACCAACATATACCTATACGCCGACGACCTGACCATCACTTCCCAATCCGTTATTCCTAGATATTCCGCCTCCCTCCTCCAAAACTCCTTAGACCAACTTGAAACCTGGTGCAACAGGTGGAAAGTCAAAATTAATCCCAACAAAAGTTCGGCTATCCTTTTTACCAAACGAAAAATCCCACAAAACCTCGATAGACTGACACTATCCCAGGAGCCCATCTCCTGGGAACGACAAACACGATACCTGGGCGTGACGATGGACCAGCGTCTCACGTGGAAACCGCACATCGTGGAGACGGTGGCGCGAGCGAAGACCACCAGGGCTAGGCTCTATCCCTTACTCAAAGGTGGAAACACCCTCAGTTTAAGGAATAAGCGAACGCTTATCAAGGTGGTACTTCAACCGCAGCTAACCTACGCCTCCACGGCGTGGGGTCACGCGGCAAAAAGCCATTTGAAGTCACTACAGGCTGTGGAAAACATAGCCCTCCGCCCGGCTACCGATGCGCCCTGGTACGTAAGAAACACTGACATATTACGAGACTTACAATACACAAACGCTACACAGACAATAAGACAAATAGCGGAAAAACGGTTTGACGTAGCCGCTAGACATGACAATCCCCTCCTCAGGCAAGCCGTTGACTACGTACCCGACATGACCGACAAACACAAAAGACCTAGACACCAACTTTTTGACCCTGGGTGACCACTCCATACATCCCCCCCCCTGCCCGCTAACCTTTTCTGTTTCAGAAACCGCCAGGATTAAGAAACAGACAACGACAGACACACACACACACACACACATACACACCCCCCATACCCACCTTACCCCTCCCCTCATACCCACCTTACCCCTCCCCTACCGCGCTAGCCTAAGGGCCACTTTAGCAAACCGCATCCCAGGCTGCATAGCATAGCCGCACTACCCTACCCAACCATACCACACATAAACATGACACCACCCCCGGGGGTTTACACAGACGAGCAGGCGAAACAAGAAGAGCGCCAGAAGAAAGGGCCCTAGCCGACGGGGCCCAGCCAGGACAAAAGGAGGTCCCACAAAGCGCCTACACCGGCCGCATTTGCGGTCGGGGTAGACGACGAATGGGGCCCACCTACGAAGGCTGTCCAGGCCTACACGAGATAAGGCAGGATAAAGAGGGATAATCCCTCTCGATCCCAAATCATTGAGGCCAATTTCTAGCCATAGAATAATGGCGCGGTTGTATAATGAAGATACTATTGTAGAATACGTTTATTCTAAGGTTGTGACATTCTTGAAGAACAGAAACAATTTTTTAAAATGTTTCAAGAACGCGTAAGGTTCAAACTATTTTATAAGGTGATGCCTACATTTTACACAACTATTATTATTGGTGGCAAATCTTACAAATATTTCAAAACCAATAAAATAGGTAGGTACCTATAACAAAAAAAACATTAGTCGCAAATGAGAACATACCA